GGGCTCGTCCGCGGGCCTGACGCCACACGGTATCGCTCGCCGCCGGGTTTAGGGTTTAGGGTTTAGGGTGTAGGGATTAGGGTTCAGGGTTTAGGGTTTTAGGGTTTAGGCTTTAGGGTTTAGGGCTTAGGGTTTAGGGATTAGGGAGTAGGGATTTAGGGATTTAGGGATTTAGGAGTTAAGGTTTAGGGCTAAAGGCTTAAAGGGCTAAGGGTTCGGGCTCATAGGCTTTTTGTTCGGGCTTGCAGGGTTTAGGGTTTGGGGAGTCATCTCATCTTGCACGGATTCTTTGGTATATGGGTCCTGATATGCCCTGAGAACTAGAATCGTCTTCCTTTCAAGGGTTCTGAAGAGGGGCTTTGGGGTATAACATATAGCGTATCCACAACAAGGAACTGAAAGGAATTGGACTACGATCTTTAGGCCTGTAATTTTGTCGGAAAAGGGGGTACATGATTGCAAATAACCTTAAGCCCTAAACCTGAAGCTCTGAATAAAACGCTGGCAAGATGATAGCAAGTAGCAGCGGTAGCCCTCTGGCAAGCTTGAAGAAGAATAGCCTTCCTTAGCCTTCTTCTGAAGCCTCGGGCACTGAATTGCCTCGCCGTACCTGACATCCTCGAGACCTCAACCTCGACAACAAGTTTGAGTCCATACTATAGGGGCCTTTATAATTAGAATAGGGTCTTGGGGTATATTTTACAATACTTATGATAAAGAACTCCCAACATTAATATCGGTAATTATAAAGGCCCCTACATTACCAAGCAATCGAAAGACGAGCCCTTCAAAACAAGACGAGCAGCATGAAGCCCACTGTCAGGATGCCTCAGCAGGATCACGACTGAACCATGTTGGAAGGCACTGAACCCTAAACCCTAATTAAACCCTTACACATTCGTGAAGGAGTGTTTTTGTCTTCGTCGGACCCAAAAAAGACCAGAGTCGGGCCTTAGACGGGCGAAACCCCGACAAAGATGCGCCTTGCCCCTGTGCATCTGGGTTTAGTTTAGGGTCTAAGGTTTAGGATTGTTGGATTCCGGCATCTCCTGTCAGACCTCTGTCGGCTGAGGTGTTTAGGCCCAAACCGCCGGTTTAAGTGGATGCTTGCCTTCAACAAAGCTGCCCGCTTGACCCTGAATGGCGGCTCTATGTCAAGACAGCTGGGGCTTGGTTCAGGGCTTAGAGTTTCGGATTTACGGCTCAGGAAATAAAGTGTCCTTAAATCTTCTGGAGCTAGGCTAGAAGCCCTTAAGATAAGGCAAGCGACACATGAATGCGGAAAGCACCTTGCCGGCGGAGAGGTCCTCGCAGAATTTATATTCAGCATCATATATCTTCTCCTGTGTAGGTTGGCTTTGTTGTCTTGAAGGTCCTAGGAGTAAGGTTTAACTGGGTTATTATGGTGTTTAAGTCTAGGCCGCAGTTACTTGAATCCCGAAGAGTGCGATTGGCTTTGCTGCGGCTACGTACATTGAACCCTAAACCCTAAACCCTAAACCCTAAACCCTAATTGAACCCACCCTTCATGGGCCTCTTTCCCGTTGTACATCAAGGTCATGGCGAACCAGAAAGCGAGAGCCATGGAGCAGAAGTAGAT